TTTCCTTCTTTTGCCCAAGGAGAAAAAAGGTGCAAAGGACTCAGTCACAATTTTACCTCAATCACACCTTTGTGTTCAGAGTTTGTTCCCTCTTGGAATGGAAGCATGTCCTGGGTGAAAAAAGGCATGGAGGCCAAGGGAGTAAATCCTGGATTTCTTCCCTCTGTTCTCACACAGGGCACGAACATCTGTCAGCAGTATCGGGGCAATGGTTGAACTGGAAAAGCAGCAGAGGTGATTGCAGAATGAAGGTGATGCTCTGCTCACAGTTTCAAAGGGAGTGCTCAGCTCTGTCCCTCCACCCAGAGGACTTACAGCAGGAAATGCCTCTGTGTTGTGGCTGTGTTAATCCACCCCTTTGTTGGTGATGTGGAAAGTTGGCAGGGCTGTAGAACCCCGTGTGAAACCTTCCTGCTTTGGTAGAAATGTGAAGACATAAGAAATAATCTGAGTGTGCTCTGGGATAGAAATGAACCTGGCCTGGGTTATGGTTTCTTCATAAATTGTTTCAGCTTGGTTCTGTGAGAAACAACAACTCTGCTCCAAATTCACTGCAAGGAGTTCAGTGAGGAGCTGGGGGAAGGGGCAGGATATGGAAAGCAGCAGGTTTGACATCTGAGGCTGGCACGTTGTGAGAAAACTGGAACGTGTCCTCATGGCAGCAGCACTCGGGGTGCTGGGGTGGGACAGTCGTGTGCAGGCACCTGAGGGAGCACCAAGAAGGAATTTCTTCCAAGAAGGAATACTCCAAGAAGGAATTGTGTTTCCTCAGCAGTAACCCACCTGGGGAGGGGAAAGCAGATGCAGCAAAGCAGGCTGCTCCCAGCCCCATCCAACCTGGCCTTGACACCCCCGTGGATGGGACAGTTCTAAACAGATCAATCTGCTTATACAGAAACAGCTGCCACTGCAGCTGCTGCAATGATTTGCAAAATGCTGCTAATAATGAAAAAGTTTGTCTTTAAAAGATAAAAGAGCTGTGTTATTTTATTGAAGGGTAGTGAGGCAGAGGCTTGTCCAAAGGGACAAGTGTGGGAGGCAGGGTAAGAGCTGAAACTCTGGCTGCCAATCAGGGCTTTTCACTGGTATTTACAGCTGATATTTGTACCTCTGTTCTAAAAATATAAAAGTTTATTTGCCTTAGAAACAGCAGGAAGAAGAAAAGGTTGGAGAAGAACCTCACCTTCCTTTCCTAGTTTATAGTAACGGATATTAATATTCCAAAACCTGAATATGTTGAGTTGGGTGCTGAATCTCAGCTTCCCTCACCACCTCCTGTAGGAAATCTGATCAATACAATCAGAGCTGGCTTTGAATTCTCGAGGACCTTTGCTGTATCTTCTTTCTGATGAGCACCCATGTCTAAGACCCTGTGGCTGTCTTGGGAACATTAGCAGGGGAGATAAATTAGGCTGTTTGACATCATCTTGTGGATAAATATTTTCTTTTAGGATTCTCAAAGGCCCTAAGTAAAGAACAGGGGAGGCTGTGACAGATGCTGTCATGTGAGGAGAACTCTCCTTGTGCCAATGGCCCCAGTGAATATCTTGTGTCGATATACAGGATCTTTTACACTCTGATTTTATGTCCTCTGTGTTGGGGGGTTTAAATATTAACCAAATTTTTAAGTTTCTACAACCAGCTGGACATGCATTTGTTCATTTAATTTCTCTTTGCTTTATCAAATCTTACAATGAAAAAAGTGAACCAATATTTGGCATGTTGTTCTTCGTCTTTTAAGTTTAGGTTTGTTTGTATTTTTTCCCCACTTTGAATTATCTTTTGATTCAGTCTTTGAAGTGTTCTGGTGGGAACCTTCAATACTAAAAAGTTGGGCCTATACCCAAACAATTTGATTGGTGAGGCCACAGTTCCTTCTCTGTCCAGGAACACTGGGAAGCATAAAATGAATTTTGGTTCCATATCAATCATATCGATATTCCTTTATTCCTCCTCTTCCAGCAGAGTCTTTTTGAGTCACAGCAGCACCGTGAGCACAGCCACACTACCTTGTGGTGCTGCTGCTCACCCCATGTCAGCCCATCAGCATCAAAAATAAACCTGAAGACAAGACACTGGAGAGATCTACTCACAGCACCCTGATTCACTGCCCCCAGGAATATTATTTGGTGTGATCTAACACTTTCTATTAGTACTCTGAGAAACTGGATGAGCAGCTCTGAAGTAAAAGTGGAATTCTTGTTAGAGCATGTATTCTTTCCTAAAAACCTTTTTGTTTGTAAGGCAAGAGGCAATCCCTGACAAGGCCTGTGCTCTCAGCCTGGTTTCATCCAGAAGAAAAAAGATTGGCCAGCTGTAAAAACAGAGGGGTCGGACAAATAGATGGATATTTAATTTGGAGACTATCCTTTGCATTTGTCCAACCAAACTTTTAATTTTATTTTTTTTTTTTTTGGTAAAAATTCTTTCCACAGCATTTCTATGCATTAAACCAAAAGGTGCTGGGGCAGAGGAGCCTTGCTGTGGGGAATAGTGAAAAGAATGAGAAGGAACTCACTGGTGGTAGATTAAAAATAAACACAGTGGCACAAATACATATTTAAATGTCCTTTTCCAATGATACAGCATTTGTTAAGTCCAGGTATGTCAGGAGGTTAAATATAGCACCTGGGATGTCAGGACATTTATACATCATGCCCTGAGTGGCTCCTGTTGGATAAGCAGGACTAACTGAACTCAATATTTATATATGTTGAGTACAAGAAAATATTTTTTTGCTTTAAATCTTTGTGACTGAAATGCAAAACAACCTCTTCTTCTGCCTGAGTAGTTTTGCAGTTTGCTGCCTTTAGCTCAGAACTGCTGAGCACATGCTCATTTATGTGCCATGGATAAATCTGGCCGGTGTGTTAACCTGGGGCAGAGCTGCCAGGCTCCACCTAGGGCACAGTTAATGCTTTTGAAATATTTGTCCCCTAGAAAGTCAAGTATTTTCATAACAAAGTCAAAAGCTGGACTTGATGATCTTGGAGGCCTTTTCCAGCCTTAATGATTCTATGGTTTTGTGAATATTCAGTCAAAAATCAGAGTCAGACATAAATTTTCACAACAAAGCAATTTAAAAGAAAAAAGGAATATCAACCATTGGTATTCCCTTTACCTCACACATGTTTGGAACAGGGAGGTTTGGAGTGCCCATCCCTGGAGGTGTCCCAGGAATTCCTGGAGGTGGCACTCAGGTCTCTGGGCTGGGGACAGGATGGGGATGGGCACAGCTGGGACTCCATGGGCTGGGAGGGATTTTCCAGCCTCAGGGATCCTGGGATTCTCCTTGCCCACACAATGGCCATAGTTTTCTCAGAGCTGCTCCTTGAGATTTGGAGCTGAAGGAGCAAAGCCACAAAACACAGGAATTGAAATATTTTCTCAAGTGACCCAAGAGTAGCCTCCTCCCCTCTTACGTTCAGCCTGACTTTTCATTTCACCAATAATCCTTTTGTTCTCAGCCCCCTTCTGTAATTTCCATGGGTTACTCCATGCTTTTTTCCAGCCCTGAGCTGTGCTGCTGAAGATCTGCCACGCTAAAGACAGCTGCATTTCAGTGGCAGAAAAAGTGGTGCTGCTGTCCTGCGTGTAATGCCAGCCTTGTTTAGTGTCTTTCCTAACAAGATGTCTAACAGCAGTGTAAAATGGTCTGAAGGTGATGTTCCAGTAACACAGGGCTTGCAGAGCACCACTGAGGGAGAAATTCTTTGCAGGAACTTCCAGGATTGAGCTGGAATGACAATAATGAATTACACGTTCAATAAGGAAAGCTGGCCCTTCACTCCATTAAGGCTTGTTATTGATGATGAAGTTGTCACGTTTGGCATCCAATCTATTGAGAAGCAGCTCTTGGGAGGAAAAGGGGCCTGTGAGTTATTTCTGGAGTGCACACCTGGAGGATCAGGAGCAGAGAGCAGCAGGTTACGTTGAGGTTGCTCTCCAGAGACTCCAACAACATGCTTTGCTAATTTCTAGACAATTTCAAAAGAGGTTAAAAAAGTTAAATAAACACAAATCAGATTAAAAGGGGAAGGACTGCCTAGTAAAGCAAAATGCAGAGTAATTGAAAATAGCTTGGCCAAAGGAGGCAGGGAGGGTCTGCAGCTCTGGGCAGAGTCTAAAATACTTGGCAGAAATGAATGACATATGATATTTCATTTGGATATAAATATGAACTTCTGGAAAGAGTTAAAGAAAAAGATGTCTCTCAAGGGCTCTTGACAATCATTTATTGAATGATGTAATCTAGCACATGGAAAGGAATCATTGTTGATATTGGCTTTTGAATGCACCTCCTTGAAGAACAAAAGTCAACTCTATTTGTCCGCCGAGTCATCCCCTAAGAAGTCACGTCTGTTATCATCACCCTGGTTCTGCTCCATACATCACGGCATTCCTGACCTTCCAAAATACCAGGGTTGCTCCCCTGTCACTTAATCTGTTTATCAACTCCTCCTGGACTTCCTTCACCAGGGATGCTGGCTCTTTGTTGGGTTCCTTCCCTGCAAACAGTCGCTTTTCACATGTTCCTGGGTCTGCGTGCTCAGCTACGAAACATTTCATAAGTGCTAAAAACATTGACACACAATTTGCATCAAGGTGAGAAAGCACTTCAGGTGTACTTACAGGGTGAAATTAAAGACCTGTTTATACTAAAATTTAATTTGCAGTGTGGACTCCTCAAGTGCAGAGATTCTTGAATTTGGATGGTGCTTATTCAGGCACATCATAGGAATGAAATTGCCTCCATCAACCGAAATTCAATGTTTTTATCAACTCTGCTAATTATGTTTTTTCCATTGGAGCACTGCCTTGGTTTTGCCTGGGGCTCCATCTCACTGACCCCTGGTGAGCTCCAGCGCAGCTCTGGTGTGTTTTGGGTTCCCTGAGGTGCCCAGCTCCCTCTCCCTGATGCTGCTGAGAACAGGTGCCCTCCCTCCGGGTCACCGAGTATATTTAGGGCTGAAACTCGAGCGGGCTGGAGCCAGATTGGCTGTGTGGGCCACACACGTCACCCGGAGCCACCAAAGCCCCTCGCTCTCACCCAGTGCTGCTCAGGAGGGAAGACTGGAGAGCCTTTGCTCCAAAGGATATTTACTGGATGTCGCTGGTAAGGACATTTTAAATGCAATTCACTTCTTTTCCTTACAAGAGGATCTTGAGCTGTTTCCCCATTCTGTAGTTTTTTGGGAATGCTTGTTGTTCTTTGCCCATGGAAGTCAGTTTTTCTGCTGAATAACTGGCTGCGGGTTGGAGGAGGAGGAAAAGACCTGGCATGGGGTTTGGAAGTGTGGCTGAAGGTTGTAACAGTGACAGGTTGAAGAGGTTGTGTTTATAAGCAAACCCCACTTCTTGAGTTTACTCATACAGCTCTGCCTACTGCTTCATGTGACTTGTCCCTCGTTATTTGAGTTATTCTTAATTTATTTTAATAGGATACAACATGATTTTCCCAATTAATTTTTGGGCATTTTTCTCAGCCTGTTGGGACTAAAAAGGGCCAGTATTCCGTGTTCCTATATTTAACCTGCATGACTTGACTTCCCTTGCCTCAGAAGGAATTGCAGTTTAGCCAGCTCAACCCAAGTGCCCCGTCAGTTGGCAGGATTAGTTTACACGGCAAATATCCCTGGACTCAGGAGCAGCTGTTCCAAAGCCTCATCCCCTCCCAACATTAGAAACAGAGCTGCAGACCTTGGTGGAAAATTGTAGCTTTGCCTCACAGCAAAATCAGTGTGTTAATTAATTAGTTCAAAGGGTCTGACACTAATCTCTGCTATGTACTTCAGCCAACTCTATGGATTTTCATCTTTTCCAGGTCTGAAGAAACAGAGAGAAAAAGCCCACAAGAGCTTAAAAAAAAAACAACCCCAGAGCATCTCTGTAGGCTGATGCTGGGAAGACAGAAATTGCCTCATTAACCTAAGGTCACTTAAAAAATATTTAAAATATTTTTCTACATTATGCTCTTTCTTATGAATGAATATAGTAGAATATAAATCTCCCACTCAAACAGGAGCTTGAACGATATAATGAAATAGCGTAGAAGAGTCACAGAGTAAAGAAAAACGCTTCAAATAATTCTGTGGTAATGAAAATATCACATCATGTTTCAAGAGATCTCTTCTTTATTCTCTTTTATTTTATTTTCATTTGATCCAGAGTTGGTGCTATAACTGGAATGAGGTATTTGTCCAGAATTGTAATTTATATCAGTATGTTTGAAACTTAATCCAGTATTTTTCCATAACAGTCCAAGTAATGCCAGATCCCAACTTTATTTAGGGTCTGACTAGTTATTAACCATGACCCCAAATACTTTATGAGCTTTATGAGCTTGACTTCTCATGGTACTTTCAGTCATGGGCTAATACTGTTTATTCACATTTTCACCTGCTGTGACCAGTGAGTGGGGGAGAGACAGAAGCAAACCCTCAGAATGGAGGAAGAAGAATATGAGGAAGTTGTGGAGGTAAGAAGAAAACGTGAGAGTGGAATTTGTTTCCTGCCTTGTGACTGAATACATTAATCACCTTACTGAGATGCTGCTCAGGAGCAGAGGCTGCTGTTTGCTCTCAGAAGATTAGGGATGATTAGACATCTATTAAATGGTTTCATCACTAAAACAACAACAACAACAACAGTTGCTCTCGGAGGAGCAAAGTCTCCTGGTTCCTGTCATAGTTCCTCAGTTTAAACAAGGACTGGAACCATCCCACACTCACAGTGCGAGGTTTTCTGATTACTCCCTGCGTAATTATAGATGCACTGGCCAGCTCTTTTTTCTCCTGGCTTGCCCTCTGTCACCCAATCCATGCTGGAGAAGATGGCTTTGGAAGCCCCTTTCTAGCCCTGCCTCTGCAGAAATGCAGCAGCTTTGTGCCACCAGGGGACCAGGAACCAATTTAGCCTGAGACATTGCAGAGATGGAGCCAGGCTTAAGTGACAGGACAAGGGGGGAGGACTTTAAACTGACAGTGGGTAGATTTTAAATTAGGCATCAGGAAGAAATCCTTCCCTGTGGAGGTGGGGAGGCTGTGGCATGAGGTTGCCCAGAGAAGCTGTGGCTGCCTCTGGATCCCTGGCAGTGTCCAAGGCCAGGCTGGAGCAATCCAGGATAGTGGGAGGTGTCCCTGCCCATGGCAGGGGGTGGAATAGAAGATCTTTAAGGTCCCTTCCAACCCAGGGCATTCTGTAATTCTGTGGTTCTATCTCCATTAATTTGCCAGCAGGTCATTTAAACTCAGGAAACTGAATAAAAAATTCCCCAGGAACTGGGCAACCCACAGCTAGAGCCATGGGAACAATAACTTTGCTATTGAAACAGTACACGAAATTAACAGAGTGGTCTTACTTGTTGCATTGCTACTACTCAGAAATTGATGTAAATGCTATGAAATACACAAAGTCACGTAAAAAAATCACTCAGTGTTTGAGGAAAAGAAGAAGGGTATAAATGTGAACATCTTACAACTCGTTGCCACCACACTGTGTTCAGTGCGCTGTTGATTTCAGGTGGTGTGAGGGCATTGCCAGCTTTATATATTTCAAATAGTGAATGAAGTAAAGCCAAATGATTTGCCAGTCTGAGTAGTTAAATGCATTTTGCAAAATAGGCGTTAGCACTCATAAAGTGGATTTTAAAGACATTTTACTACGTAGCTACAATGAGACTAACTCTTCATTAAATTTCTTATTCTTACGTTACTTGTAATCGCCTTTATGTTTCCTGTGCATTGTGTGCTCTCTGTAATGGATATTTATTTGCTCTCATTGTTTATTTATTCCAGCAGGAGTTATGGTATTTTGGGCTTTTTGTCCACACAGCCCCATTTCATCCTTTGTTTTTAATTTTCAATGACCACCTTGCTGTAATCACATCCCTTGGGCTGAGGAGGCACTGCTTTAGCCACTTCCCTTGGGATACTCTTGGTGAGATGCTAAATAAAACAGGAACAACAGCATCCGGTACCATTTTAAGCCTTTCCAGAATTTTCTTAATTCCTGTATCAATCCAAGATTTTAAACTTATTAGAAATTCATCTTCTGAAAGAGAAGGACATGATCGTTGAATGTTGAGTGGCTGAGGCATCACCAAGGATTTTAAAATGCGATTTTTTAACTTTCTCTGGAATCACGAGCCATTACTTGATGTTGTAGCTGTCTTGGGATGTGCAAAAATCCTCAGCGAGTGATACAAACATTTGCTGCCGAGTTACTTGAGGTTTTTCAAAGATTTTGTAGAAAGTTTGTGGAAGATTTTGCAGGGGGGTTTGTGGAAGGTTTTGTGGAAAGCTTGTGGAAGGTTTCGCAGAGGATTTTGTGGAAGGTTTTGTAGAAAGTTTGTGGGAGGGTTTTTATGGAAGATTTTGTAGGAAGTTTGTGAAAGGTTTTGTAGAAAGTTTGAGGAAGGTTTTGTGGGAGGTTTTGTGGGAGGTTTTGTGGGAGGTTTTGTGGGAGGTGTTGTCGAAGGTGGGTCCAGCATGGAAATCCCCTCAGAACACCCAGTATGTCACAGCTTGGGAAGTACGGCTTGGTCCCTTGAACTAACTTTGAGGAAGAGCTCTCAGAAAGGGGCTTAAGTTTTAACGAGAAATTTTTTAGCTTCAAAGGGTTTTCCGTTCCCGCAGCTGTGGCAAGCGACCCCAAGCAATTACCGCTTAGAGGAGACTTTCCACCATAAACCCCGCATTTTTCCATTTTATCTTAGTGCAGGTGGAGCACACCCCGCAGACAGCGGGTGCCGATCCTGCAGCAATGTTTTTAAAAGCTTTTTCCCGTCATTTCTGAGCGGGGCAGGGGCGGGAGCCACAGGCCCCGGCGCCCCCTCAGCGCCGCCGCCATTTCCGCGGGACGGCGCCACCTCGCGGCCGCCGCCGGGAAGTGGCGGACGGGGAATAAATTAAAAAAAACCCACCAAAATTCAACAAAAACCTCTCTTGGCACAACCGGAGGCTGTTTCCCATTGTCCTGTCGATTATTCCCTGGGAGCAAAGCCCGATCTGGCCGCACCTCCTGTCAGGAGCTGTGCAGGGCCGGAAGGGCCCCCCTGAGCCGCCTTTTCTCCAGGCTGAGCCCGTTCCCAGCTCCCTCAGGAGCTCCTGGGGCTCCAGATCCTTTCCCAACTCTGTTGTCCCGGCTGGAAAAGATGCTCCTTTGGATGTGGTGCTCACAAACAAGGTAGAACTGGTGGAAAATGCACAGATCAAGGGCTGCAGTGATCGTGGGACAATGGAGCTGAAGATACAGGGAGCAGTGAGCAAAATGAGTGGAATCATCCCAGACTTTGGAAGAGCAGAATTGGAGATGCTAGAGGAAAATCCTGTGGGAAACAGCAGAGGCAGCCAGGGTCGTTGGGTGAGCCTCCAGCATGATTTTCCCTGAGCACACAGCTCAGCCCAAAGTGCAGAAATCCAACAGCAGAAGGGTGGAGTAGCGGAACACGGAGCTCCTGACTGAGGAAAAATGACACAAAAAAAGAGAAATATACTGAAGGTGGAAGCAGGAGCAGACAACTTGGGAGAAATGTAAAGATTTAAAACATTACAAACTCCATTCCTACATCCATGGGCAATGTTCAGCTTCATTTGGTCTTCAAGAAAGGCAAGAAAGAAGATACAGGCTGGTCAACCTCAAACCTTCCCTTTGTTCTTTGGGAAGGCTGTGGATCAAATCCTTTGAGAAGCTATTTTTAAACACACAAAAGACATGAAGGTCATGTGGAGAAGTGAACACTGAGTTGTCAAGAGCAATCTATGGCTGATGAACCTCATTAATTTTTATAATGAGATCACAGCTGCTGGACAAGGGGAGGCCAGAGAAGGTTGTGTACCTGGTCTGCTTTAGGGATACGTCTCATTGTAGTTTATCCCCAAGTTTATGAGATTATAAATTATGGGGGAATAATGGGCAGTAAAATGGGTGGAAAATCATCAGGCTCAGAGTTGTGATCAGCAACAAAGTTTAACCAGCAGCCAGAAATTGTTGGTGTCCTTGTAGGAGCAACCCTGAGGACAACAGTCATGAGTGTCACCAAATAAAAATCAGGAAAATCCTGGGGTTTAAATGCCAATTCTTTTAATGTGGTCATCAATGTCTTCCCTCTTGTGGGTAAAATTAGATAACAATCTTCCATTAATTATTTGGATGATTATTAGTTGGGGAGTGTATGGAATAAAAAATCCAATAATTAATTCAAAATTTGAACGGATATTCAGAGTTATCAAATGACTCCATAAGCACCTGTGAACTAAAATCCTGTATCTCCAGAAATGTGTTTTAAAACAGCTTCACAGAAGCTACAGTTTGCTGATCTGGCCTAACAATGATGTTTTTTCTCTTTTTTTTTTCCAAAGTACTACATTGAGGAGACAATTATTGAGGAGGGTGAGCCACACGAGGTAAAGGTCCCTGTCATGCTGCATGTAGCACATAAATGCATGTAATTAACATGAAACACTAAATTAGCAGCATTTTGTATTCTGAGGTTTAATTTTTCATGTTAAGCACACAAATATCAGTGAACAATTGCTGCTTAATAATTTATTTTTGCTTCAAGTCCCTGCTGTGTGATGATCTAAGATCAGTTTACATGTATCACTTCTGTTCCCTTCACCTTGTGTAATTTCACTGAGAAATTACAGTTTTGCAGATTTTTCATTGTGTCACTGGTAACAAATATTTGGGTCACCAAGGAGTGATTGCCATAATTTGAAATTCTACCTCTGAAACAGCTATAACCCAACTCTCTGCTGGGTTATCATAAAATATTCTTTATGCATGGGCTTATGCAGAAACAGAAGTTATTAATTCTTGGTGCATTTTCAGCTCTGTCTCATTGATGCAAATAACTCTCAGAACTCTGACCTTCATGAATTCCTTTATAAAGACAATTTTTTATAAAGCTAATTGATACAAAATAAAACCTGACACTTATTTGGGTGGTTTTGGACGCCTTTTTTAGTTGTGCTAATTATTTTTAGATGTTTTCATTATAATCTTAGTATTAAAATTACTGCTTGCAGCATGACTATGTTGATAAGCAAGTGTATAAAGCATTTAAATTGATTGGAAATTAATGCATGTAGAGCAGAGGCAGCTGGAGCCCCACTCTCCCAGACCCTCTGGAGAATAATTCCATGAGTTTGATGCAGGAACCAGCCAGAGAATTGAATCCTCATGGGATTTTTAGGGTGGGTGATATATAGGGAGCACAATGGTAATCCCAGTAGGAAAAGTGTCCCTGATTTTCTGTCTCCGTGTGGAACAGAGCATCCTTTCACCATCTCAGGGGAGTGAAAAACATGGATCCTAATGAATTTTTTCAGCTATAAAACAAGTGTTATTAATTTTTTTAAATCTCCAGGTGGTCACTGAGACCATCAGCACAGACTACTCAATCCCTGAGACCACCACAACCACCACCTACACAGCTGAGCACACCCCGCCCAGGGCAGTGAAAATTCTTATCCTAATGAGCTTTTACAGCTATAAAACAAGTGGTTATTGAATTTTTTAAAATCTCCAGGTGGTCACTAAGACCATCAGCACAGGTGATACTCAGGCCTTGAGACCACCACAACCACCTACACAGCTGAGCACACCCAGCCCAGGGCAGTGAAAATTCTTATCCTAATGAGCTTTTACAGCTATAAAACAAGTGGTTATTGAATTTTTTAAATCTCCAGGTGGTCACTGAGATCACTGAGACCATCAGCACAGACTACTCAATCCCTGAGACCACCACAACCACCACCTACACGGCTGAGCACACCCAGCCCTCCGGGGAGGATGCAGCTCCTCCCATCAGGAAGAAGACAATCCGGACAAAAGTGGATCCATCCAAGTTTCTGACACCTTACCTGGAACACAGCAATAAAATGAAGGACTTATTCAGTGAGGTAGGTTGTCCCATGTCTCTTATTTCTTGAGGAACACCAGCTTTAAAAATGTTTTACAGGGGTTGTTTGATAGTTATATTGGAAATATCTGGGTTTATCAATACTAAGCTCATGGGGAGAATATAATAAATTAGAGGTGATCCAAGTTAGAGATGGATTTTTTCCTGTTGAGTCAGATGGAATAAACTCAGTTGGCTAAAGTAATAGTTGTATAATTTTAGCTTATATTATTGAATAATCTGTCCAAAATTCCTGTCCTAACCAGATAAATATGGCAATAATTGCTAATACAGTTCTGCCAGAGCTCAGGGATATGTCTTATTTATTTTTTATCATTATTTTTTTCCAGAACAAGTACAAGGAAAAATTTAGAAAAGAAAAAGGAAAGCCATATGCTTCCACAATCGATACCCCAGAAATCCGGAGGATCAAGAAAGTGCAGGACCAGCTCAGTGAGGTGGGTAACAAGTGCATTTCTAGGTTCAGCCAGGTTCTGGGTGTTTATATGAAGGGTGAAAACGTCATTATTCTGAGATTTTTTTTAAAATCAGTCAGTTTTGCTGGAATCAATGAGTTTTGTTCTGCTCCAGGTTAAATACCGCATGGCTGGGGAAGTTGCCAGAACCATTTGCCACGTGGATGAAAAGGCCATGGATATAGAACATGCAAAGAAAGTGTCACAGCAAGTGAGCAAGGTGAGTGACTGACTTTCCAACACTGATGGATCCTGAGGTTACTGACAAGAACAAAGGAAGGCCATGGATATAGAACATGCAAAGAAAGTGTCACAGCAAGTGAGCAAGGTGAGTGACTGTTGACTTTCCAACACTGGTGGATCTTGAGGTTACTGACAAGAACAAAGTTTTGAGCTCAGGGTGCTAAAGCAACATTTACACAACAGTTTAGAAGCACAGGAAGGATAGCAGAGAAGTTGGTAAGGCAAATGTAAATATAATATTAAATATTTCCAGTTACTCTTTTCAGATGCTACTGCTCTGAGACTTTGATTAAAAAAAATCCTTAAAGCAGGTAGTTTATTCACAGAAGTAAATATTTTTTAATGATAGAGTGACCAACTTGCTGATCTTTCCTTCCAGGTATTATATAAGCAGAACTGGGAGGAGAATAAGGACAAGTACCTGCTTCCCCCTGATGCTCCAGAGCTTGTGAATGCAATAAAAAACACAGCAATGTTCAGCAAGGTAAGAAAAGCTACCCACAGATCTAAGCAGCTGAAGTAAATTGAGCTTTCAAAGCCAGAAATTAATTAATAATGAGCATTCTGGAATTTTTCTTGTAGAAACTGTATACTGAAGACTGGGATGCAGACAAAACATTGTTTTATCCCTACAATGACAGTCCAGAGCTCAGAAGGGTGGCACAGGCTCAGAAGACTCTGAGTGATGTGAGTATCAAAGCAGGGATTTGCATGGGTACCAAAGGCTGTTGGGTTGTGGTGTAACCTGGGACGTGCCACGACTTTGATTGGACATAAAAGCTTCACAGTGGAACAGAAAATAGCAGTGTGTTAAGGAAGCTCTGATAGTAGTGGTACTTCATAGAAAAATATGTATTTGATACTAGAGTACAAAGTAGAGCATATTGGAGTATAAAACCATTGGCAGTTTGATGCTGGGTTAGGAGTGAATGAAATAATTAATTTGTTAAATCAGCAAGAAGACCTCGAGTAACTCCCCAAATGCAGAAACTCTCAGGGCTGTCTCCAAGTCCAGTTCACTCTTGTGGGTCTGCAAATGTGCCTCTGAAACAGTGATGAGAAAAGTCAGGGATTGGTGGGACTGGGATTTGCTGATATTTACATACACAGAACTCTTCAACAGGGGATTGCAGCTCTCATGTGAAGATTTCAGTGAATTTTGCAGAGGTTCAGAAGTTCCCTGGTAATACACAGATCAAAGAATTCCTGCTGCAGGGGCTGTGGGCAGAACTCCTTTTATTAATGTGGTAGCAGCAGAGTTCAATGCTGTGATCCTCACATAAATGTTTATTTCTTCCATCCTTTCAGATTGTCTACAAAAAGGGGCACGATGAAAGGAAAGCAAAATTCACCTCCCTGCCAGACCCCCCTGATGTGGAACAAGCCAAGAAGGTGTCACGGCAGCTGAGTGATGTGAGTAGAACCTCTGCCCAAACTCCACTCCTGCAGGGAGAGAGGCAAAAAGGGACCTAAGGAAAAGGAATAACACACAGGAAGACCAATTTTTGCTGGAGAAATTGGGACCAAGTTGCATAATCTTGGAAGTAGTGTTTTAATTCCATTACGAATTTAACTATTTTTTTTTTAGAATTTTATTGTGTGTTGAAAATTATCTGCATTTTAAGATTAGAGAATTGCAGTATTCACTCATGGTGGAGAAACCACTAAGAAAATTGCACTGAACCTCTTTGTAAGGTAAAATAATTAATTTTGAGAAAAATTCTTTAATCTTATATTTCCATAGCTTAAAAGCTAAATTGTCATCAAGATAATTTTATGACATGCAAAAAAAAAAGGATCAGTATCATAATTCTTTGAAATGAATAGAATAATAAGCTTTGTAGGTATCTCCAAAACTATAAAATATAGAATTAAAAAAAAAAATTGGCATGTGTGTTCTTCAGCAATGTTAAAAAAGTATTGGAGGAGTTTTATTTTTTATGGAAAGTAATGCAACTGTGGCTGAAAGTGCCCCTGGAACACCTGAGTCAAAACTCAGGCAGGTGTTTTGTTGTTAGAAAAAGTCTTTAAACTTTTAATACTTGATTTCTGTGAGCTTGAATAAATAATGGAAATCATAAATACCAGGTAATTAGAAGGGTTTGGTTATAACCAGTTCCAGCAGCAATCCCAGTAAATTCTGACTTAATGTGCAATATCCTAATATTATGTGGCCAGGGAGAAAACAGAACTAAAACGATATGTTAGAGATGATTTATTTATCCTTTTTAGGTCAGGGAAGGTACTAAGAGAAATAACACTGAAATGGTTTGGCCAAATCATATTTAAGGTGTTTTTGACCATACCTGCTAAAATAGTTATAAAGCAGGCATCAATTATGAAGCAGCTTTAAAAAGACAGCTTAGGAAAATGAATCTGTCAGGTGAAAATGGAGCTGTGTCTTGGTGATTCAGTTTTATTGTTTTGTTTCCTTATAGGTTATTTACCATGAGGACTATAAAAACAAAGTCAAAGGCAAGTGGAGTCAGACTCCATGCTATGATGTGGCAGTTGCAAAAATGAATGCAGAAAATCTAAGTATGGTGAGTGAATCCTGCAGAAAATCTTCAACAGCTTTATCCCTGTTTATGTTCATTTGGAAAATACTGAGGCTCCATTTGTGGCATTGCTTATTTCCTAAATAATCCCTGCCGTAGGTGTCTAATTCACAATTAAATATAATTAATGTGTTGTTTTCTGTCTGTCTCTGTTCCTAACAGAGGAAATACCAGGAAGACTTTGAAAACATGAAAGACCAAATCTACTTCATGCAGACTGAAACTCCAGAGTATGAAGCCAACAAACGAGCTTCAGAAAACGTCAGCAAGGTGAGGGAGCTGATGCCACCTGCTCAGCTTGGGAATAGTTCTGAACTCACACAAGCTTGTGCTGAAATTCTTTTGGCAAGACCTTTCATGGTCGTTTGCCACCATAAGTTAAATAACAGGGCATTTTTCATGGAAAGTTGAAGATTATATAATAGATTCATATCACAGGATGGTTTGGGTGGGAAGGGACCTTAAATACCACACACTGCCACCCCTGCCATGGGCAGGGACACCTTCCCTGTCCCAGGGAGCTCCAAGTCCCATCCAGCCTGGCCTGGGACATTTCCAGGGATAGGACAGCCACAGCTGCTCTAGGCAATCACACAGATTAGTGAGCATTTGGCTTTCAATAGTGATTTTTAAAACCTCTTTTTTATTTTTATTCTTTCAAGTTCAAATACAAAGCAGACTATGAAAAGAAGAAAGCTATTGCAGATTATAATGTGCTCCCTGCTACAGAGAACCCATTGCTGAAGCAATTAAAAACTGCAGGAAATATTCTGAGTGATGTGAGTATTATCAATGTGCAGCTACATCATTTTCAGTCTTGTACCAGAAACCACACTCACCATTTCTTCACAAGGCTTCCCCTTTGTAGTATTTTTTGTTTTGTAGACCCATATTTATAATGAGATAGCACCAGCCAGAACAATTCAGGTAAATAATGAATTCTCCACAGATGGGTGTAGCAACAGCAGTGGCACATGGATGGTTAATTAGTTGATAGTTCATTTAGATCTTTGTGGATAATGAATCACAAAAGGACAGTTCTTCCCTTACTGTTTTAAGGAATTTCAGCTAATAATGATAATATATGTGGTGCTTTTATATAATATTTTTACATTATATTCTGGTTATTCACTGTAACGGTCTTCTCAATTCCGCTTTTATTTGTATGAAAAGAGATTGAATATTTCTCAGTGTCAGAAGTCCAAAAATCATTAGCCCGACCTTTCTGTCTTTCCTTACAAACCTAAAAAAAGTTATTTTTAAAGACCAGTGGGAAAACAGTGCCATCTGTTTCTCAGTCCTGTGGGAAAGCTTTTCTTTGGAACCATTTCTCTGTTTTACTCTTGTCATTTTTAACATGGTGGGGGTGACTTACAGGGAAATCTCCTGCATGATCTGGTATTATTTGATTTGCAGAAATTATACAAAGAAGCCTATGAACAGTCCAGAGGAAACAAGATGAATTACTGTGAGACACCCAAGTTCCAGACTGATGCTGCTCTGAAGAACTTTAGTGATGTAGGTATTTCACTTGGGGTTTATCCTTCAGTACTGACCCTCTTGATTCCTTTTGCCTCTCAACTCATGGTTATTTTGGCAGGTTAAATATAAAGATGCATATCAGAAGAATATTTTGGGGCACTACTTGGGCAGCTTTGAGGACCCACATCAAATCCACTGCATGAAGGTTGAAGCTATGAAAAGTGATGTAAGTGTGGCAATCGTTCTGTTTTCCCCCTCACTCTGGCAGTTCAGACAAAGCTTACTTGTTGTGGTTCCTTACTGAATGTTGCTCTTGTTCCTAGAAAAATTACAAAGCAGATTATGAGGAGGAAAAGACAAAGTGCTACTTCCCTCAGACCATAACTCAAGAGTATGAAGCAATCAAGAAGTTGGAGCAATGTAAAGATGTGAGTACAGGGCTGCAGTTGTTCACCACGGAAAAATTAACTGAGTGATCCCTGGTAACATCAATGATTCTGAGTTTGGCCTTATTGCCATATGTGGCTTTTTAAAAAAAAAAACAAACACCTTCATCTCTATTTTAGGGCCTTTTGTGACATCTAGTGATCAAAAGAGATATAGCACAATCCTTTTTATAACAAGTAAACCCATAAAATGAGAGCAGTAGAACCAAAATGAAGAATGAACCTCAAGCATTCACCTGCTTAAATCAATATTTTTTCAAATTAATGCTTTAAAAGGACTTAATTTATTAATAATTTTATTTGTTTTAGCAATACTTAGAAAATACTTTATATGTGTTTTCTACAAATATTTTTTTATCTTCTTTCAGTATACCTACAAAAAGCATCCTGATCAAACCAAATTCACTTCAGTGACTGACTCTCCAGTACAGAAGCAAGCAGAGATCAACAGCAAACAGCTGAGTGATGTAAGTAAACTTTGGAAACACTGTGACATTCCCAGTTTCTGCCCTGTGCCCACCTTCACTTCATCCTCCAGCTTTAAGAGCACTCCTGAAATAATTGTGTAGGTGGCTGTATGTATTTACAATTTTTTTCCCGCAGAACATCCCCTGGAAATCAGATTTTTAAAAACAGTTTTTCAATTCACAATCTAGAAATTGGGCTGCTAAATATCTTCCTTTATTTTTCTTTGCAGATATTGTATAAATCCAAAGGGGAAGAAATTATTCACAAGTACCACCTCCCTCCTGATGTGCCTCAGTTCATCCAGGCTAGAGTTAATGCCTACAACATCAGTGATGTGAGTACATTTTGAATTTCAACACCATGAAGCTCTCCACTGATGGTATCAGTTTTATTGCCTTTGTGATGTTAAATTTTTTGGTGGCATTATCAGCTTTCCAGGAATGAGATAAAAACTGACATCTCCCTTAATGGCCTTGGAATTTTAATAGTCTAGCTGGACTGATAAAAAAACCCCAGAAAACAGCCAGGCTGCTTTCTCCAGTTCCTTTAGAGCATGAAGGCTGAGTTTGAAGCTAACAGGAAAAAATCTCTGAAGGTTCAGTCAAATGAAAAAGGATTTTGCATAGGAAAGGCCAAAAAGGCCACTGATAGAGTTGTTCTAAACTAAAAGTGTAAAAATGCTTGTGAAACTCATTATTATCTTTGTAGTAGGTTCATTTTTTATAATAGAACTGTAGTTTGTGTACAGGTTAACATTTTTTCCTTGAGATTACATGGACAAAACTGGGTATTTTAATTCTTATAACAGAATCTCCTCTAAGAAGAACATGGGCTTAAACCCTTTATTAGAATTGCTATTTCTGACACTGTAAACTCTTCCCTTTTTTCCCTCCAAGGCTAACTACAAAGCAGACTGGAAGAAAACCCTTGCCAAAGGCTATGATCTGAAACCAGATGCCATTCCAATTATTGCTGCTAAAGCTTCTCGGAATATTGCAAGTGATGTAAGTAGGATTTACATCCAGTAGAACACTTACCCCTGCTGCATTTCATTATTTATTATTGTTTACCTGTGCTGGAGTCCTGTACTCCTGCTTTAGCAAAAGGTCACAAGCGACTCAAACATCTCTAACTGAATATTGGGATATTGGATTGTTTGGTGAGGCTGTTCAGTAATTTATTATTATCATAGTCTTAATTAAAAGCTGAATATCCCTGGGAGTTGCAAGCCTGCATCAATGACAGTGATGAGGGAGGTCTTGTAGCTGCAGGTGTGGGTTGAAATATGTACCAAGTGCCAAGACAAGCTGAAAAATCCAATAATCCTCTTCTTCTTTTTGACCTAAATAACCCTGTGCTGTCGTAAAAACCATTTATGAGTTTCCAGAATGAACTGCAGCATTAGTGCTTTGAAACTCAGTGTTCTAAACCCATCCAAAGTGTGTTTTCCCTTTCCCAAGTGGGTAAAGCTGTTTTTCCTTTGTCTCTAGTACAAGTACAAGGAATCCTACGAGAAAGACAAAGGCAAACAGGTCGGGTTCCGGAGCCTGCAGGATGATCCCAAACTTGTTCACTACATGAACGTGGCCAAAATCCAATCGGATCGGGAATACAAGAAGGATTATGAAGTCACCAAGACCAAATATCACTCTCCTCTGGATATGTTCAGCGTGACAGCTGCCAAGAAAGCCCAGGAAGTGGTGACAAACACTGGCTATAAGCAGCCAATTCACAATTACACCCTTCTGCCTGATTCTGTGAACCTGGAGCTCTCCAAAAATGTGATGCAGCTTCAGAGTGATGTATGTCATCAAGAATCAGCTCCATTTTTAATTCTCATCGTGACTTCATGACAACATTAATGTTTTAAGGCTAAAAAATTAATTTCTATAATCCAGTATGTATTATATTGGATTAACAGTAGGTAGGGATGTAAGTGGCTGGTCTGGAACCATTTATTTTCCAAACATTATCAGAATTATGTGCAGCTATTAAGTTCTGGGAAACTTACCTAGCAAGTAACAACTTTTTTTACATTTCTCCATATTTGGCATATCCCCAGCAAATGAGCATGTTTTACTAATTGATGTGTTTTTTTGTAGTAAGATTTTAATTGTTGTGATTTTATTTCTCCTAAATACTGACTCTATCAGTATTTATCTATGCTTAAATTTAAATTGCCCCCCAAAAAGGAATGTCCAGGGGAAGTTTTAAGGCTTTACCTGTTTTATGTGTATAGACACTCATTTTTCTTGCTTCACTGTGTTTTTCTTGTTTATTTTTGAATAGAATCTGTACAAATCTGACTTCAATAACTGGCTGAGAGGAGTTGGCTGGGTCCCAATTCAGTCACTGGATGTAGAAAAGGCCAAGAAAGCCACAGAGATTCTCAGTGAGAAGAAATACCGCCAGCATCCCGACCAGCTCAAGTTCTCCATCCCCATGGATGCCATGGAACAAGTGCTGGCAAAGCAAAATGCCAAGACCATGAACAAGGTGGGGAGCTGTTGGATTGACCTAAAGTTTGGGTGTTTGTCTTGCAAAGTTGTGGGGCAAGGTGCATTCCCACTGGAATTATTAAAATTTCCTGTGGGTGTGGTAGTTCCTTGGTTAAGACTGGACACTGAGAGATCATGGTGAGGCTCTGACTGTTCATAATTAAGGGAGTTTCATTTTCTGTTTCTAAAGATTAAAGATTTCTTTTCCAGATTTATAATGTTTTGATAATGCTTTTTCTGTAGGACGTATTCACGATAAGTGAGCTGCAGAAAACCTGGAATTCTGTTGGTTTTGTACAAGTATCCTGGCAAGTGCTGTTTACACTTGTCTCTAGTTATCCAGGACACCACTGTCTTTATTCCTTGTTTTCCATGGAAAGAATGTCTGTGAAAATAAATTCTGCTTCCCGTTAAGGCAGGGAAGAACACAGATTGGAAACTTCCAGCTTCAGTATTTATTAATTATCATTAATTATATTAAAAATTATCAAAACATATTTTGCAAATTTCTTACAATACTAAAGAAAGGAGGAAGATAATGTTGCTCCTCAGCAGCTCTGTGAAGGTTATTTCTGGTGCCAACAATATTTCTAGGAAATATTATTTATCGCAAACGAGCAGAACAAAAGCAAACTCTTTTATGAGTTCAGTGCCTTTTCAGTGCTAGCAATTCCTTTGTAATTGCAGAGGCTGTACACAGATAAGTGGAACAAAGAGAAGACCAGCATTCATGTGATGCCAGACACCCCAGAAATCCTGCAGTGCAAAGTGAACCAGATGACCATGAGTGATGTGAGTTGCTGTGCTCACGGTGGGCCTCCCGTGCCTCGCTGTCATTTTAATGCCTTCTTTGAAAATGTTTAACTTCAGAGTTCTGCCTTCATGACACCTGTTCTCTTTCACAACTTAGAAACTTTACAAAGCTGGATGGGAGGAGGACAAGAAGAAGGGTTATGACTTGCAGCCAGATGCAATTCCCATAAAAGCAGCCAAGAGCTCCAGGGACATCGCGAGCGATGTGAGTCTGGTTGTGTGATACCATTCCATGACTTTATTTTTAAATTAAATTACTACACCTGAGATCTTGTGATCTGTTTTTTCAGTGATAAAGCAGAGCTTAATATTGCATTTTTTAACTGAGGTTTTTGCTGTTCTTTCTCTTTCCTGCTCTCAGTATAAATACAAACTGGCCTACGAGAAGGCCAAAGGGAAGCACATTGGCTTCCGCAGCCTGGAGGACGACCCCAAGCTGGTGCACTTCATGCAGGTGGCCAAGATGCAATCTGACAGAGAGTACAAAAAGGGTTATGAGAAGGCCAAGACTAACTTCCACACTCCAGTTGACATGGTCAGTGTGGTGGCAGCTAAGAAAGCTCAGGAAGTGGCTACAAATGCAAACTACAAGAACTTAATCCACACCTACAACGTCTTGCCAGATGCTATGAGCATTGAATTGGCCAAAAACATGATGCAGTTACAAAGTGATGTAAGTAAGAAGTTCTTCAGCCTCTGCATTGTAAATACAAAGGTGCTTAGTTTATGAAAAAACACTGTAAGATAAATAGCATTATTTTGTTAGTGGAATTAGGCCAGGTATCTATGAATATGTAGTAAATTATACAAGTTTTTCAACAATTACTGCAGTTTTATTTTTCCTAGACTCTGAAATATTTCATTAATGAATTTGAGCTTAGAAATAAGCAATTTTATGAATATGTACTCCATCAGGCTCTTCAGGAGCAATAGTTATGTGCAGACCAAGACAGGAAAAGCTTCACTTTTCCTTAATACATTTTATCTTGTACTTCCAAATTTATGAGCTATTTTATGCTTCATACTGGTTTTTATCTACTTTCTGCCTGCAGAATCAATACAAAGCAGAGTATGATGAAACTATGAAGGGTGTTGGGTGGCTCCCACTGGGCTCCCTGGAAGCTGAGAAGAACAAAAAAGCCATGGAAATTTTGAGTGAGAAGAAATATCGCCAGCATCCAGACAAGTTGAAGTACTCTGTTCCTATGGATTCCATGAACATGGTCTTGGCTTTAAATAATGCCAAAATCATGGATGAGGTGAGAAAGTGCTCATCAGAATTCATTTCAGAAGCGGGCAACAATCTACATCTGATTTAATAGTCAACCCTATTGTATGCAGAGCTTTAGAAAACAGGATTTTATTTTGTAGCTAATGAATGTGCTGTAAGTGCTAAAATAAAAAGATAAATGTTGCTCTTGTGGTAGTAACACATCATTGTCAAGGCAGTTTGGATTTCAAGTGGAAAATAGTATTTTAAATTGTTTTATTTAATAATTACAACAGATGCTGAGGTCTCTAATTTATTTTAATCCTTCCAGCACAAATACAAACAAGCCTGGGAAGAAGACAAAAAGAAAATTCACATCACCCCAGATATTCCACAGATTGCTTTAGCAAAAGCAAATGCATTCAATTTAAGTGAAGTGAGTATTGTTTGTGGGGCCATGACCTTGCTCTTATTTTTTGATTAGGAATACGTGAGATGAGAGCATGCAAAAGTCCCATCTTGCTAACCTGTAGTAATTTTACAAAACCTATTAATTTTCCTTTTCCCTGCTTCCTTTCCCAAAATTAGATACCCAGAATTGCCAAGAAAAAGCCATGTTTATAGTCAGGTTGTGAAGTGTTCATGCAGACCATTAAAATATAACAGTTGCTAACAAAATACAGTAGACTTTGAGTACTGTTCATGTTTGTTACTGTATTTATTATTTTATTATTGGTTATTTTATTTCCCCATGCACAAAGTTTTGTACAAGGTTCAAAATATAGGTAGCACCTGTATTTTTGGTAAAAGATGACATTATTGACAGGTTTTGTTAAATACTTGTTAAATCTGCATATGCTAAATAAAGTAGTGCTTGTAATTATGCACATCTGCAGTGTGGGCAGAAATAGACATTTTTATCTCTTTTTATTTTTTAAGATGACGTCCTCATAGATGTAACTTTTCACCAATACTTGTGCATGTGGAAAACATGTAAAGTTATTTTTTTTTAAAAGATGTTTCTTTTTCTTTTTGCAGAAAATGTACAGATCTTCATTTGAAGAAACCAGGAAGAAAGGGTATGATCTCAGGGCTGATGCTATTCCTGTCAAAGCTGCCAAAGCTTCCAGGGATATTGCCAGTGATGTAAGTTCTTGGGAGAAAAAGTGGGCAGGGACAGCTTCCACTATCCCAGGGTGCTCCAACTGCCCTTGGACACTTCCAGGGATCCAGGGGCAGCCACAGCTTCTCTGGGCACCCTGTGCCAGGGCCTCCCTACCCTCATAAGGACGAATTTTTTTCCTTAATTTCAAATCTAAATTAATCAAAGTCTCTGCTTCTGTTCTCTTCCAGTATAAATACAAATTAGGGTATGAACAAGACAAGGGGAAACTTGTCGGCTTCCGCAGCCTCCAGGATGATCCCAAACTTGTCCATTGCATGCAAGTGGCCAAGATGCAGTCGGTTTCTTTTTGCAGAAAATGTACAGATCTTCATTTGAAGAAACCAGGAAGAAAGGGTATGATCTCAGGGCTGATGCTATTCCTGTCAAAGCTGCCAAAGCTTCCAGGGATATTGCCAGTGATGTAAGTTCTTGGGAGAAAAAGTGGGCAGGGACAGCTTCCACTATCCCAGGGTGCTCCAACTGCCCTTGGACACTTCCAGGGATCCAGGGGCAGCCACAGCTTCTCTGGGCACCCTGTGCCAGGGCCTCCCCACCCTCATAAGGAGGAATTTTTTCCTTAATTTCAAATCTAAATTAATCAAAGTCTCTGCTTCTGTTCTCTTCCAGTATAAATACAAATTAGGGTATGAACAAGACAAGGGGAAACTTGTCGGCTTCCGCAGCCTCCAGGATGATCCCAAACTTGTCCATTGCATGCAAGTGGCCAAGATGCAGTCGGACAGGGAGTACAAGAAGGCCTATGAGGCGAGCAAGACTCATTACCAGACACCTTCTGATGCCCTCAGCGTGGTGGCAGCCAAGGAGGCCCAGGACCGTGTCACCAACACCAACTACAAGCGCCTGATCCACCAGTACATGCTGCTGCCAGATGCAATGAGTCTGGAGCTGTACAGAAACATGAATCAGATCCAAAGTGATGTAAGTTTTCTTTTTGTGACTTTTGTTTTCACATCGTGGCTGCAGTTTGGGAAGGACAGGGTTATTTTTTATGAGCTGTCTTCTTTTTGTGGCTTTTGTTTTTCCATCACGGCAGCATTTTGGAAATAACTGTTTTATTCTGTATGAGCTGCGTGTACATTGTCAGCCTTGCTTTTGTGTCCTGTTTGGCAGAATGAGTACAAGCAGGATTACAAGGAGTGGTTCAGGGGGATTGGTTGGAGTCCCATTGGTTCTCTGGATGTGGAGAAATCGAAGAAAGCCACGGAGATTGCGAGCGATCGGAAGTACCGCCAGCACCCCAGCATGTTCCGCTTCACCAAACAGAACGATGCCATGGACCTGGTCCTTGCAAAGCAGAATGCAAATATCATGAACAAAGTGAGTATTTAGGGGAAAAGCCAGGCAGGCATTCACATCTCATCCATTCCAATAACCACTCTGTAAATGTCACGCCTTTATGTGGCAGCGTTCCCCTGGGAAAAACAACTGTCACAGGCTCCTCTTTTTTCATCTTTTTTTTTTCTCAATGAAACAGGATTGCTTAAAGAAATCTTTTCTCATTTTTCTCCAACCTCTATTCATCCCATTCTTTCGTAGAAATGACCTGAAAATTGGTCCTGAAAATCTTAATAGTTTGGTTTTATTAGAAGCAAGACTGGACAATAATTCAGCTGATTTTGGATTAGATCATTAATTAGTAAAATAAATCTGAGTCAGCACCTTCACCTTTTTACTCTTCCATATTCAAATGGAAAGGTGAAAACCCTGTCATTTATATTAACACATCTGATGTGACTTTCTGTCCATAGCATGCTTACACCGAAGCCTGGGAGAAGGATAAAACTCAGGTCCATGTGATGCCAGACACACCAGATATTCTACAGGCCAAACAGAACAAGACAAACTACAGCCAGGTAGAGTATTTTGATACACCTTATCAACATTTTAAATTAATATCTACTGGAGATTTAGAACGCAGGCAAGAATTTCACGTGGGTAATATTTTCAGAGTAAAATAAGTACCAGCTTCAGTCTAGCAAACTAACAGACTAAATTGCATTATAACGTGTGGAAAATATAAGTTGTGCTTTTGAAGTATGAAAGTATACAGTCCATACTCTATGCTTTGCATAGAATTCAGTCATGTTAAAAATTCCTTACTATAAAATTACAAGTTAATTGTGTATATTTTTAACCTAACCTATGGGAAGAAGTAGATGCAGTGATTCCAGCTTTTCTCTCATCTTTCTGATAGGAGAAAGTGACAATTGTGCCAGTAGAAAACACTCAAGGTTTTGCTTTGCATCATTGCTCAGAGGCAAATCTTTGACTTAAGAATGCCTGTACTTAAAATCTACTGTGCACAAACTGGCTTGACTGTTAAATGTCTTCGTGAAAACCTTATTAAAAGTTTGTTAAGGCAATCAAAAAGTGTTCAGTTATCTTGATGTATGTGTTTCAAATTCTCCAGATACGTTTCAAATCAAGATAAACTACAGTAGGAAGCTGCTGAATAGTGAAAAACTATTTAGTCCCTCTCCTAAGTTTTGGAAGACCAGCATTTCTTGTTTATCAGTTTCCCATTTCTCAGTTTCCGTTCTAGCAGCCCTTCTCTCATAACTGAAGCCTGTGAGGTGACCAGAATTTGGATCATTAGTGTATCTAAATAGCGGGTGACATACATATTACTGGTTTTAATTAATATTGTTTTCAATTTTAGAAACTCTACAAGCTTGGCTGGGAGGAAATGATAAAGAAAGGCTATGACCTCACACCTGAAGCCATGTCAGTGAAAGCTGCCAAAGCTTCAAGGGACATTGCAAGTGATGTAAGCAGCATTTTAACTCAATGTGACACACGCTGACCTGGTTGTTACAACTTAGAGTCACAGCAACTTGAGATACACCTCTCTGCTAAGATGTGGCTTGGAGTCAAAACCAACATTACTGACAAAACTCCCTCCTGAGCTGTTTTTGTCCAGTTTAACAAGGGTTTCTCTGGCATCTTACCATGTCCAAAGTTTGGTCTGGTCATAAAAATGGAGGAGTTTTCTGCTCTTTGGGCTGCTTCATTTTCAGAGCAGCAGCAAGTTTGGTCCAATTAGCTGAGCCCAGTGCCTATCCTCATTACAACTCTGAAACAGATGTGGTGACACATGGACTGTTGTTACCATAAATTGGTACAAACGCAACTCCTGCATTTGTTTATTTTTAGGGATGGAGAATTTATTAATTCTCTTAAAGCTAATACCATATATAATAAAGAAGATAGTTTATTAATCATTAGGAAATGTTTCCCATGCATAAGTATCTTTGTATTTAATAATTTTTCATTGCTGATAATGTTATTCATCAAAATATTTCAGTGTGTCAGCATTAGGGAGTTCTGAGTCAGTGGGCACAGGAGACTATTCCTATTGCCACACTCCCTTCCTTTCCAAGGACTCTTTCTTTCCCAGGGAGAGCATTCACTGACACCAAGTGATGCACATTAGACAAGGGGCTGCTAAAACTTTACATGAGAGCCCATAACAAGTTGCTTATTTATACAATCACAAAATGGTTTGGGTTGAAAGGCACAGCAAGGATTATTCAGTTCCACCCTTTCTGTGGGCAGGGCCACACTCCCCTATCCCAGGTTGCTCCAAGCCCCACCCAACCTGGCCTTGGACACTTCCAGGGGTAATTTCATGAGGAACATTAAGATGAGCGAGTCCATTGGTGTTTTGTCACTTCCATGTTTGTCACTGTGGTTTGAGTGGTGCCACCTTTGCCATTGCAGTTCAAGTACAAAGAAGGATACCGCAAGCAGCAGGGACATCACATCGGATTCCGCAGCCTGCAGGATGACCCCAAGATGTTGTGGTCCATGCAAGTAGCTAAAATGCAGAGTGAGAGGGAGTACAAGAAAGACTTTGAAAAGTGGAAGACCAAGTTTAATATGCCTGTGGACATGCTGGGCTTCCTTCTGGCCAAGAAGTGTCAGGAGCTGGTCAGTGATGTGGACTACAAACGAATACTGCACCGCTGGACTTGTCTGCCAGACCAGGTCGATGTCACCGAGGCAAAGAGGGTCAACGAGCTGCAGAGTGATGTAAGCTCCCTCTGGGTTTAATTCACTTACTCCCATGTAAAAGAATTACTGCTGGTTGGAAAGCATCTTTGATGGCTCACTTTTGTTATCAGTATAGATCAGATTGGAGCTAAACTGCCAGTTAGACTTTTCATAGGGTTTAATCAATGAACAGTGAAATAATCTGCTATGGTTTTGATTTTCACCCTTAACAGAACCTGTATAAGTCAGATCTGCAGTGGCTCAGAGGCATTGGATGGAGTCCTTTGGGATCTCTGGAAGCTGAAAAGAACAAGAAAGCTTCTGAAATACTGAGTGACAAGAAGTACCGGCAGCACCCAGACACAATTAAGTTCACAAGTATCCCAGATGCCATGGATGTTGTTTTGGCAAAATCTAATGCCAAAAACAGGAGTGATGTAAGTTGCCTCTAGAGACAGAACGTAGGATTCAATAAATGAATAATATACATTTTAAAAAGGATCTCTGGTTCAGAACATGCACTTGAAATATCCAGATAGCAGGTGTTTATAGTCAGGGCCTCACTGCTTTTTGTGCCTTGTTCATAATATGAAGATCTTGAGTGCTGATAGTTTACTCAGTATAACTGCAAATAAGACCTTTAGTAAGCAGTATGTAAATATATTGTTTCAATGCTGTTTCCTTGGCATTACATGGATGTAGAGAAGAAAAAAGGTTGCATTTCAGTAAGAAGTTACTGTATTATTTGATTTTACTATCTTATTTTGTATACATCCCTAATTCTTGCTTAGTATATCTTTTCTTTGCTAATTTAGAGAAAAGGTGAACTGAAATTACTAGTGTGCAGGTGAACCTTGGATCAGACCAGGTTTTTGTTTGTGTCTCTTTCAGATACTCTACAAGGAAGCTTGGAACAAGGACAAGACTAAGGTTCACATCATGCCTGATACACCTGAAATTTTGTTGGCTAAATCAAACTTGATTAACACAAGTGATGTAAGTTTGCATTTGAAACTGGGTAGAGAGAATCACAGGGTTGTATTACTCACCTCTACAGAAAGCTCTGGGAATAATTCAGATTAATCTAGTTGCTAAAAGAAAATTTTGATCTTCAATGAAATAATCAGAAAACATTTAAATTGTAATTTGAAAATATTTAATATCCAAGGGTACAAAATATCTGTCATTAATAGCAAGGTATGGAGTTTAATTTAATTAAGTAAACTGTGTGAAACCCATGCTTTCTTTTCAATAGTCAGAGGTGGAAAGTTGTAGCACTGAAAAACTCTCTAGAGGGTTTCATCTGCATTAATTCCTTTGAATCCTTCTCTAACAGAAGCGTTACAAGGTAGGATATGAAGAGCTGAAGAAGAAAGGCTACGACCTCCCTCCTGATGCCATCCCTCTCCAGGCAGCCAAGGCATCTCGAGACATAGCCAGCGAGGTGGGTCTTGCAGAGGGAAAATCAGAGTGGGGCACAGAGGGGGCACATAATCTTGCAGAAAAATAGTTTCTATGTAACAGGAGGAGATATGTAAAATATTAACACAGTGGTGTTGCTGCCCACCCGAAAGCTTGTATAATTCTTAATGGTGTACAGCTAATTAAATTAAATACAATAATATAAAGATGATAGTGTTTTGCTATGAAGAATCCCATAATATCACCTGGATGTTATAACAAATGCTAAAAACTTTGGACAAAAAGAGAAGCAAGTTAAAATATGTTAGATTCAAAATGATTAACTACTGTATTAACAACAGAGAAACTGAAATGGCAGCTTGGAAAGAAGTGGTAATTGTTGTTTCTATTGTTCTGTTTCTGTTCAATTAGTACAAATACAAAACTGCATACAGAAAACAGCTGGGCCACCACATTGGGGCCAGGAACATCGAGGACGACCCCAAGATGATGTGGTCAATGCACGTGGCCAAGATCCAGAGTGACAGGGAGTACAAGAAGGACTTTGAGAAGTCCAAGACAAGGTTCAGCAGCCCCGTGGACATGCTGGGAGTGGTGTTGGCCAAGAAATGCCAGGAGCTGGTGAGCGATGCCGATTACCGGCACCCTCTGCACCGCTGGACCTGCCTGCCAGACCAGAACGATGTTGTCCATGCCAAGACAGTGTACGACCTTCAGAGTGATGTGAGTTGTTCTTTACTGGCTATGTGACAGCCTTGGGTTCTCTGCCCAGTGTTTGATTCTGGTTCTGAAGGAGGAGTCTCTGTGGCAGGGAAAGGGCAGTGGAGTCAAGTTTTTTCTTATGGAGAACCAGCAGCTGGGAAAGACAAATGCTGAGGGCAGTGGAGAGCCGTAGGGGCTGGGTCCAAACACTGAATGGGCAGCTGGTGGGTTGACCCAGTGGAACATGTTCCATTAATAACATCCATTGGTAGGAGTTGGGATTTCTTGGAGTGAGGAGATTGCTGAGCTGTTTGTGTCCTTTTCTGTCCTTCCAGAACGTGTACAAGTCTGACCTGCAGTGGCTGAGGGGCATTGGCTGGTCCCCAATTGGATCACTGGATGTTGAGAAGAACAAGAGGGCGAGCGAGATCCTGAGTGACAAGAAGTATCGTCAGCACCCAGACACCATCAAATTCACCAGCCTTCCTGACTCGATGCCCATGGTGCTGGCAAAGCACAACTCCAAAATCATGGACCAAGTGAGATTTCCTTCTGTTTGCATCATTGCTGAGGGAAATGAGCACCTTCTTTCCCAGGGTGTTGTTCTATGCCTTTCCATGGCCTGGGTTCTTCAAGGAGGATACTGCATCCTCTTGCCTTAGGGATTTGTGTCCTTGTTTGAGATAAAACTCTCTTTTTTTGTGGTTGGAGCAGTAGAAAAGGGTGAAGCATTAGAAAGCTTGGGGGAAAGGGCAAGAGTTCCTGAATCAGTGCAAAGTGGAGACCTCTTGCTTTGATTCACAGAGCGGGACATCGCCAGTGATGTGAGTGCACAGCAGCCCTCGTGGCACACATTGTCACACGGGTGCCCCGTGCTGGCAGTTGAACCCAGGGTTTGCAACTGAGCCAAATGGAGGCAACAATTCCATTACCTGTCAGTGCCCTTCAGTTGTCCATCAAAGTTTTTGTTCACACTGTCTACCTGTAACTGTCTGTGCAAGTTGTGGGTGTGCAGTGTTGCAAGGGAAGGCCTAGGTGGTGTGGAAGAGTAGCTGTGGGAGCTGGGTGATGGCTATAGCCCAAAGCTGGGTCCCTCCTGGGCTTATGAGTGCATCTCCTCGTGCATCCACCTGTAGTTCTGAGGTGTTGGGCTGCCCTCAGCACTGCCCATCTGCATGGCCCTACTCTGCAACTACACAGCTGAGCTGTGCATGAGGAAAGAAAACCCAAACCAAGTTTTCCTTTAAAAATTAAAGCTGTATAAAATAGCATGATTTTTTTTATTCTTAGGCATTAATACAAAATTGCATTTCTGTATGTGTTTGCTGTCTTTATTTAATCTTCCTTGTAACTCTCTCTGTAGTTACATTTTATTGCCTCAGTAGTTTGGGTTGATTTGGCCATTGTGCTTGAAGATCAGTAAATGATTCTCTGTGTAGCGGGTATTTATTGAACTCCACATCTTTGGTATAGCTTTTATTACTTAGAGACTTTTCTTCCTCTCAGCTACTGACCAGTAGCTCTTAATATGTAGACCAGGGAGAGTTTTGGAAAATGTGAGTTTTATCAAAAATACATTGTGTGCATGCTTTTCTAACTGTACACTGTAGGTCATGAGCTGAACCCTTTCACACTGTAAACTCCCTGTGGCTTCAGCTGATAAATTAGCTGGAGGTGATACCACAGGGGTTGCTAGGAATGTGAAAAGAACCTAAAATAATACTCAGTGCATGCTGTTTTTCCCTGCAGTACAAGTACAAGGAAGGGTATCGCAAGCAGCTGGGCCACCACATTGGGGCCAGGAACATCGAGGACGACCCCAAGATGATGTGGTCAATGCACGTGGCCAAGATCCAGAGTGACAGGGAGTACAAGAAAGCCTTTGAGAAGTCCAAGACCAACTTCAGCAGCCCTGTGGACATGCTGGGAATTGTGTTGGCCAAGAAATGCCAGGAGCTGGTGAGCGATGCTGATTACCGGCACCCTCTGCACCGCTGGACCTGCCTGCCAGACCAGAACGATGTTGTCCATGCCAAGACAGTGTACGACCTTCAGAGTGATGTGAGTTGTTCTTCACTGGCTGAGTGACAACCTTGGGTTTTCTGCCCAGTGTTCTTTCTACTGTTGGAGGAGGAGTCTGTGTGGCAGGGGAAGGGCAACAGATTGAAATCCTCGTTTACTGGAGAAACTAGGATTGGCAGGTCCTGGGTGCAGATAAAAATGATATGAAGAGTCCTAGGAGACGGATGCAGCTACTGAATGGGTGGCAGGTGGATTGACCCAGTGAAATGTGCTCCATTAATTGGAGCTTCCTGTGGTAGGAGATGAGGTTGCTCAGAGTGAGGAGGTTGCTGACCTGGTTTTTTCCATTCCCGTCCTTCCAGAACGTGTACAAGTCTGACCTGCAGTGGCTGAGGGGCATTGGCTGGTCCCCACTTGGATCATTGGATGTTGAGAAGAACAAGAGGGCGAGTGAGATCCTGAGTGACAAGAAGTATCGTCAGCACCCAGACACCATCAAATTCACCAGCCTTCCTGACTCGATGCCCATGGTGCTGGCAAAGCACAATTCCAAAATCATGGACCAAGTGAGATTTCCTTCTGTTTGCATCATTGCTGAGGGAAATGAGCACCTTCCTTTCTCAGGGTATTGTTCTGTGCCCTTCCATGGCCTGGGTTCTTCAGGAGGGATACTGCATCCTCTTGCCTCAGGGATTTGTATTCCTTGTTTGAGATAAAACTCCCTTTTGGAGCTGTAATGGGGTGCAATGTTGAAAAGAAAATGGTGAAGCATTAGAAAGCTTTGGAGAAAGCAAACATGTTACTGGGTCAGTGCAAAGTACAGCCTCCTTGCTTTGGTTTGTGAACCTGATTTTCTCATTGAGTTTGTTTCCCTAAACCCGTGTGTTCTTGTTTCCTCTTGTCCTCCTTTCCCAGCGCTCGTACATCTCAGCCTGGGAGAAGGACAAAACCAGCATTCACATCATGCCAGACACCCCTGGGATCCTGCTGGCCCAGCAGAACAAAGTGAACTTCAGCGAGGTGGGTGGTTGCTGAGGGTGCAGTGTGTGTCCCTGGGCGCTGTCCGGGCAGCAGCGTTGTCTGAGGGCCTGGTGGTGTCTGTTCCAGAAACTGTACAAGCAGGCGATGGAGGAGGAGAAGAAGAAGGGCTACGACATGCGGGCAGATGCCATTCCCATCAAGTCTGCCAAAGCTTCCCGGGACATCGCCAGTGATGTGAGTGCACAGCAGCCCTCGTGGCACACACTGGGGCTGAGTCTTTTCTCTCTTTAAAGTCTCTGTGGTTTCAGTTTATGTTTTCTGGAGGTGGTGTTGCAGGGGTCTTGGCCACATAAAAAGCCCTAAACTAACACTCACTGAACATTTTTTTGTCCATAGTACAAGTACAAGGAAGGGTATCGGAAGCAGCTGGGCCACCACATTGGGGCCAGGAACATTGAGGACGACCCCAAGATGATGTGGTCAATGCACGTGGCCAAGATCCAGAGTGACAGGGAGTACAAGAAAGCCTTTGAGAAGTCCAAGACCAACTTCAGCAGCCCTGTGGACATGCTGGGAGTGGTGTTGGCCAAGAAATGCCAGGAGCTGGTCAGTGACGTCGACTACCGTCACTACCTCCATGAATGGACTTGTCTACCAGACCAGAATGACGTGATCCATGCTAAGCAAGCCTATGACCTCCAGAGTGATGTAAGTATATGCTGATAACCTCTGGACTACTGAAATATTTGTAATTTCCTTGGAATATAATCTGGTGTAGTTGCTCTCATATAGTATTTTTTCACGTTCTGTTTTTTTATCCCTGTTCCAAGAAAGGCCATTTTAATTTGAGGAGCGAAGGAATCTGAATGTAAGAGCTTTATGAAGGTTTATGTACAGCCAAATAGCAGAATTAGCTCCCTATTATCCTTCATAATAGTGGATTTGAATATATTTAAATGCTGATTAACATATAAAGGAGAAGTTTTTAACTGCTGCCTTTATGTTTTGTAACAGAACTGCTACAAGTCTGACCTTGAGTGGCTGCGGGGCATTGGCTGGGTCCCAATTGGTTCCTTGGAAGTTGAGAAGGCCAAGAAGGCAGGGGAGATCCTGAGTGATAAAATTTACCGCCAGCATCCGGACACCATCAAGTTCACCAGCATCCCAGATTCTCTACCAATGGTGTTGGCCAAGCAGAACGCAGACACCATGAACAAGGTGAGTCTGTATTTGATCAGGTAACTCATCAACAGTCTCTGCCAAAACCCCTGAGACAGGATTGGGACCACAGACCTGTGCCTGTGCTGTGAGATTTCACCACTGTAAGGCTGTAAAAATGTAAGTTCCATTTTTGATAATCAATGGGAAACTTGTTTTCATCAAGAACTGATTTAATAATATCTTCATAGAGAATTACTAAGGTAATTTGTCACAATTATCAATTGTGAATGTCTCCAAATACTCTGCTGTGTTTCTCCTGCAGCGTTTGTACACTGAGGCCTGGGATAAAGACAAGACACAAATCCACATCATGCCTGACACACCTGAAATCACACTGGCAAGAGAGAACAAGAAAAACTACAGTCTGGTGAGTGTGGGAGCTCTCCAAATGTAACTTCTCTGTGTCATGGCTGGATCAGGAATTTTCTGGGAAACCTTCTAGAGATGGCATTATCAGTTTCCTAAAGTAACTCCCATATTTATCCAAAAAATTTTGACTTTAAAAGCATTGTTTGTATATTTGTAGTAGTGCCTACATAGAACAGCAAGCACTGGTGAGAAGAAATTCCATAAATTCCACACAAGTTGTGTGTTTCCACTGAATTTTTGGGGAGTAATTTCTGGCAGTGTGCATAATGTTGGGAAGGCAAAAATTAATACCAGAAAGGTAGTTACTAGCATAATTCTGAAAAGGTGTGATGCCAGTGTTCAACATTATTTTAGGCAAACAAGTTCACATCAGTAAGCCACATCAGTGGTTTTAAAAAGTTTTACTCCGTTTGTATAGAAGAAAAGTTAAGTCTAAATTGAAGTCAATGTTACATTACTTAAAGCAGTAAAATAAAAATTAATTAACAAATGTATTTAGCAAAGGTCTTCCTTTGATATGAATTTGTATCAGCTACTGATCTGAGGTTTTGAGTTAAAGGTAGATAAAACTGGGTGTAATAAATCTAAACACAATTATTAGATCTACTTCCAAGCAATTTGTTTTGCATAGACTATACCATATGGAACTTACATGAATCCCATTGTTTAATTCTTCATCTAGAAACAATACAGACAGGCCATGGAAGATTCAAAGAAGAAAGGCTATGATTTGAGAGCTGATGCCATCCCCATCCAAGCAGCCAAAGCATCCAGGCAAATTGCCAGTGATGTAAGAATCTAACTTTTTGTTTCTTTCTATGTTGACATCTCTCCTCTGCAACCTGAAAATTATCATCTGGACCCTGTAAAGGCACTGCAGTTAAACTGTGACCTTAAGTAGTAGATTTTTGCAAGTAAATTATCATGTATGTTTAAAAAAATAAATGTTGATAATTATAAGAACAATATAATGCTGCTTTCATGATAGCTGTATAGCTCATAACCCTATATGTGTGGAATACAGTATGTGTATCATTATACGAAATAAGGATTAAATGCATTTGATAAGACCAGGATTATTTCTCACTAATATTAGTAAAGCACATTTCTTCTGAAAGGAAAATGATAAAAAAATTCTGTTTAGGGTTCTAGCTCAAACAGCAAAAAACTTTAGTCCTAAAATATTATTAGCATGAGAATTTATTTGACAGTTTGGGGTTTTTTTTTTAATGGTAGGTTATAGAAAAGTTTGGAAAGATTATTGTAAGAAATATTTAATATGAGTAACTGACATTTATGAGTGACAGAGAAATATAATATCTTGGTTTGTGTTTCAGTACAAGTACAAGGAAGGGTATCGGAAGCAGCTGGGCCACCACATTGGGGCCAGGAACATCGAGGACGACCCCAAGATGATGTGGTCAATGCACGTGGCCAAGATCCAGAGTGACAGGGAGTACAAGAAAGCCTTTGAGAAGTCCAAGACCAACTTCAGCAGCCCTGTGGACATGCTGGGAATTGTGTTGGCCAAGAAATGCCAGGAGCTGGTGAGCGATGCCGATTACCGGCACCCTCTGCACCGCTGGACCTGCCTGCCAGACCAGAACGATGTTGTCCATGCCAAGACAGTGTACGACCTTCAGAGTGATGTGAGTTGTTCTTTACTGACTATGTTGCAACCACAAGTCTCTCTTGTGTTCTGTTCCTCTGCTGGAAGTGGTTCTTTTGGGGATAATAATTCTTGGCTGATTCTGAGGGACTGAGATTGTGTGGTGGCCCTTCTTGACATGGACAGTCAGCGATGATATTTGTGTGGGGTCATGCTTCATGGCCACAGAAGAATGCTTTCTTGCCATGAACATTTTATGGGGAGAGTTGTGGCTGGGACCTTTATTACAGTAAGGCAGGGGAAGGGCAACAGAGTAAAATATTTGCCTTGGAGGACCAACAGTGGCAGTGGCAAGCTCTGGGTGCAATAATTCATGATACAGAGGGTCTTGGGTGATGTAAGGCACCTCCCATGCCTCTGCCACCTGAAGAATGTCAAATGGGGCAGGTCTCTGCTGGGGATACTGAGAAGATGGAGAGGGAGAGTAGTGAATTCTTCGGCAGGTACTTGTGGTGTTGCAGGAGTGGGGAGCCAGGTGTGGGGAGTGATCTTCATGGGGGTCCCAATCCTAGTGTCTGGTGGGTTGGCCCAGGGAAACATGTTCCATTTGGTAGAGTGTACTGTGGTAGGAGTTGGGATTTCTTGGAGTGAGGAGATTGCTGAGCTGTTTGTGTCCTTTTCTGTCCTTCCAGAACGTGTACAAGTCTGACCTGCAGTGGCTGAGGGGCATTGGCTGGTCCCCAATTGGATCACTGGATGTTGAGAAGAACAAGAGGGCGAGCGAGATCCTGAGTGACAAGAAGTATCGTCAGCACCCAGACACCATCAAATTCACCAGCCTTCCTGACTCGATGCCCATGGTGCTGGCAAAGCACAACTCCCAAATCATGGACCAAGTGAGATTTCTTTATATTTGCATTCTGAAGGCAATAAGCACCTTGCTTTCTCAGGGTGTTGAACGATGTTGTCCATGCCAAGACAGTGTATGACCTTCAGAGTGATGTGAGTTGTTCTTCACTGGCTGAGTGACAGCCTTGGGTTGTCTGTCCTACTGGTTAAGGCGGTCTGTGTGGCAAGGGAAGGTCAAGGGAATTAAAATCCTTGTCTTCTGGGGAACCAAGAGTTGGCAAAGGCAAGAAATTGTGCAGCTGAGAATGGTATGTAGAGCCTTCGGAGATGGGGTAAAAGGCTCCTCCAATGTTTCTGCCAGATACAGATTGAGAAATGGGGTAGGTCTTTACTGGCAATATCAAGAAGATAGAGGGAGGAGATTTGTGGATTGCTTGATAGCGGCAGACAGGTTTCTGGGAGCTGAACTTATCCAGAGTCACTTTTGTGGCACAAGCTGGTGGTTTGACCCAATGGAACATGTTGCACTTTGCATGGTAGGGAATGAGGTTGCTTGGAGTCAGGAACTTGCTAAATTGCTTTGTTTGCTTTTCTGTCCTTCCAGAACGTGTACAAGTCTGACCTGCAGTGGCTGAGGGGCATTGGCTGGTCCCCACTTGGATCATTGGATGCTGAGAAGAACAAGAGGGCGAGCGAGATCCTGAGTGACAAGAAGTATCGTCAGCACCCAGACACCATCAAATTCACCAGCCTTCCTGACTCGATGCCCATGGTGCTGGCAAAGCACAACTCCAAAATCATGGACCAAGTGAGATTTCCTTCTGTTTGCATCATTGCTGAGGGAAATGAGCACCTTCCTTTCTCAGGGTGTTGTTCTATGCCCTTCCAAAGGCCAGACTGTACAAGGGGAGGAAATCCCTCTTGCCTCAGGGATTTGTATTCCTTGTATGAGATTAAAGTTTTGCGTGGTTGGAGTAGTAATGGGATACAGTGGGAAAAGAAAGGGGTGAAGCATTAGAAAGGTTTGGGGAAAGGGCGGGAGTTCCTGAATCAGTTCAAAGTAGAGGCCTCTTGTTTGGTTTACAGAGCTGATTTGCTCATTGAATTTGTTTCCCTAAACCTGTGTGTTCTTGTTTCCTCTTGTCCTCCTTTCCCAGCGCTCGTACATCTCAGCCTGGGAGAAGGACAAAACCAGCATTCACATCATGCCAGACACCCCTGGGATCCTGCTGGCCCAGCAGAACAAAGTGAACTTCAGCGAGGTGGGTGGTTGCTGAGGGTGCAGTGTGTGTCCCTGGGCACTGTCCGGGCAGCAGCGTTGTCTGAGGGCCTGGTGGTGTCTGTTCCAGAAACTGTACAAGCAGGCGATGGAGGAGGAGAAGAAGAAGGGCTACGACATGCGGGCAGATGCCATTCCCATCAAGTCTGCCAAAGCTTCCCGGGACATCGCCAGTGATGTGAGTGCACAGCAGCCCTCGTGGCACACACTGGGGCTGAGTCTCTTCTCACTTTAAAGTCTCTGGTTTCAACTTATGTTTTCTGGAGGTGGTGTTGCAGGGGTCTTGGCCACATAAAAAGCCCTAAACTAACACTCACTGAACATTTTTTTGTCCATAGTACAAGTACAAGGAAGGGTATCGGAAGCAGCTGGGCCACCACATTGGGGCCAGGAACATCGAGGACGACCCCAAGATGATGTGGTCAATGCA